CAAGTGGCTACCAAGAGCCACCCAGCAGTGTGGGGTAGCCTTGTCACATGCATGCACGGTGATATCACCATGATATCAGGGCAAAGAGCAGGCCCAGAGGGTAGAGATGAAGCAGAGGACCCAAGTTCCAAACAGCCCAGGGAGATAAACTTTACAAAGAATGAAAACTTAAATCCAAGATTCTGTCTGGGGGAGTAAAGTGACTGAGATGGGAAATAAAAGACTTTGTCTTAAAGTCTGGGACGTTCATATCCTAGGAGCAAACACTATAGAAAATATGGAGACAATGTTTATGAAGACTTTTTCTAAATCAAACTGCAACTATGAGAAAACTGAACCTTGAGAAAACCCTACAGTCATTTAGACACACTCTCCACTCACCCAGTCCTACCCACTGTGGCTCAATTCCCAAGGACAGACATCAAGGAAATCAGGGTATAGGGAGGGGGAGTAAATATATATCTTGCCCTGTGTCCTGATACTTGCTCCTATAGTTACCCTCCCTTTCCCCCCTCCTTCTTTGCCTCACAGCTGTTTTGGGGTTCTACCATCAGTCCATTTTTGAGGTCACTCCAGAAATGTGTTACAAGTAATGGCAATCTTGGCTATTAAATAGTAAGTATTACCTGCCAAGTCATTTTCCGTTTTACCTTTTGAGAATATGTTCTGTTGGTAGCTGAAGACACTAAAATTTTGAAACAAAAAGATGTTTTTCACAGCAGAGCCCACCTGAGAGAGAACTCTGGTTCCAACGTACATAGACTTAGATTCAACCTTCGATTCATCCAGTTTACCAATGCCCCAAAATTATTTTCAGAATTCACTATGGCTTATTTTCAAAAGTTTGTCTTTTCTACCATCTCTTCCTCACAAGGTTTAGTAATGTTAGCTCCACTTTCACTACCACCCCAGCATGTTCCCAAGGTGAGATCACTACATTTGGGTTTTGAAAACAAATGTGAACAAAGCCCCTGACTACAAATAATAAACCATTTGATGAAGATCCATCACCAACAGAACAAGTCCTTTGAGCTGGTTTCCTGCGAGTCTGAGTGGGGAATTTTCTCCCTCCCCCATTCCTCTGTAATAGAAATAAAGAGATATTCACAAATGCAAGGATGAAAAGCATGAGATGAGTGGGTTTAAACAGGAACAGAAAAATAAGGTATTTATATGGCATAGGATAAATTAGGTTATGCTGCATTAACAAATACTCTAAAGTACCATAACCCACATTTCTTACTACCTATGCCCAATGTGGATCACTTAGCAGTTCTGCTCATTTATGGTCAGGCCCCAAGACTGATCATCACAGTCAATAGAAGAGAAAGAAGCCAGTTTTCACTCGCTCCTAAAGATCTCTATCCAGAGCCTCCCTGGTGGCACAAGGGGTTAAGTCTCAGCACTATGAAGCTACCACCAGCCACCACAGCGCTGACCCACTTGGCTCAGCAGACCTATCCCGTCTCCCCTGCTACTCCCCTCAGCAGTGTATTTCGGTAGATCTGTCTGTTCTGCTGCCCACTCTGTCTCTGGTGAATCCTCTCAACCCCATCTCCACAAGAGATGGCCTATACACCAGCTCTTGCATGCACAAAAAAGTAAGTCTTTAAAAAATAATAACTGTCCACAGAGGAACAGGAGAAAGTTTAGCATACTGAGCAGGGTGCTAAGGTGACAAACATGTATAAATGATGTGCTGAGAAGGAAATCCTGTTTATGAGGAGCCTCTGAATATGAGGCCAGTGGAAAGGCACCTCTGCAGTGTCAAGCATGGACTTTTAGCCTCAATAGCACCCTACTTAAGCTCTAACTACTACTATGCTGACTGAAGACCTACTATATGCCAGGTTATTTGTAAGGCATTTTAAACACAGTTACAGCTTAACATTTCTACAATTAGACAAAGGCCAATTAAATGACCAGTTAACTGAATTATCAGGATTTCAAACCAGGGTGGTATAACCCCAAAGCCTTGGTTCTTTTCCATAATGCTGCCTGCTTTCCCAACTGGGTATCAAGTAAGCAAGCCCAGCAGTTCCTAACAAAGAATGGGGGGTAGTGCTCAGAGTTTTGAAAGTGTAACAGGTGTCTGCCTAATGGCCAGGGTTCTGGGAGGAGTGGCAGGTAGTGGACAGAGCCACCATTTCTTTACTGGAGTTTTCCAAAACCCCACCTCTTCACTTTCATCCTATCCAAAGTCAGAGAAGCAATAAGCAAACAAGGGGTTACAAGCTCACTTTACTGTGAGTGGCTCAGGACGCAGCCAGCATTGGCTAAGACACAGGATTCTCCCTATTGATCAGCAAAGTACACGATGAAAACCTCAGGAACATGCTCTCAGAAGAGTCTGGTACAATGGCGCTTCCAATATTACTGGTGGCAGAAACTGACATGAGCATTGAGCTCTGGAGGGCAACTGACATCTGTAGCAAAGACTTTTGACAATTCTGTCTACAGGAATTTCTCCCGAGCAACTAATTAGGGCCATTTACCAGTGAGTATTAGAAGGATATTTATAGTCCAGACATTTGCAACAGTAAAAATCTGCAAACAACCTGTGTATCAAATACTAAGAAATAAGAAAGCATTATGCTCCCAACCCTATGTAAACAATAGCATTTTCTTTTAAAAATATTTGGTATTATAAAGACTGGAAGACAATAAAAGGGCAACCTTTCATAGGTGATTTCTGAATGGTAAAAGTATCAGTCATTTGAGAGAAAAAGGGCTTACTTCACACCTTTTTATTTTTCCAAGATTTTTATATTGGTCATTGTTTTTATAAGAAAAAAAGGTCTTTTAAAAAAAAATCTGAAGTATAGGCCCTCCCTGGTGGCACAATGGATATCGGATACAGCACTGCAAGCTGGCTTCAACTGCTTCAGTGCCACTTTGAACCCTGCTGGCCCCACAGGTAACCACATGGCGCCCAAACCTCTCCTGACCCGCCCGCTACTACCCTCAGCAGTGTACTTTGTCCATCTGCCTGTTTTGCTCCCCACTCTGTCTCTGGTGAATCCTTTCACTGCCCCTGCACCTCTGGCCTGTACCCCAGTTCTGTATGGATAAATAAATCTTAAATATATATATGTATATGAAGTACAAATTGATGCAGGTGTAGACATTGGACTCAAACCCTATGTCCACATTCCAAAACCCTGTACCTGGGAAATGTGTCCCCCAAGAGTTGATCCCAGTTCAGAGTCACTATCACTTACCTGGTTCCCACCCAATCCCAACAGGAAAAGAGAGCTCACAACTGGAGGATAGAGGAGAGGAATGCAGGAGGCTTTAAGGGAGAAATTTTATCCAGACCTATTATACTGTTTCCCTTTCAAACTTCTAACCTGACCGGGCAGGACCAATCACTGCCTATGAAGAACCCTTATAGATCCAGCCTCTCAGTGTCAACAGCCCTTCTCATCCACCCCTGACCTCACACACACCTCCCAGGGTCCAGCCTCTCCTCTGCCAAAGGCGGCAAAACCCTCTACCCCAAGTGTAAAAACGCCAATTATTTTCAATTTTCTCAAACCTGACAGCCCAATCCCAAAACTTGTGGCAGCTGATACATGCCCTCCTCGGGCCCAAACCCTCCCATCCTTAATCAGGTTCCCACCAGCAAAACCACTGTAGCTTAGGTCACAATCCCCAAACCCTGGAGGCCACCACAGGAAGACCCCAGTCCACCCTGGGAACTATTTTAAGAGGCTCAGGCACAGTGTGGTCCAGGCTGTGCCTTCTGTCCTCTGCTGGGCACTGGAACAAAAAACCACACTCATCTTAGAGTCAGTATTTGCTTGTTTGACTTCCTCTCATTACAATGTATTTCTTTGTGGCTTGTCCACCTCTCCCCTGTGCCATACCAACCCTCTGTCAGTCAGCAGAAGGCACGCTGTGTCCACATTGCGTAATGCAGGTACCCCTCTGGACCTGCCCTCTTACCTTGCAGGGCCACATCTGTGTGGCCATGTGTTCCTAGCACAAGAAGCTATGTAGGCTTGACATCCCGTCTCCCACTGATGCGTTAATGCCCCTTGTTTTATTTCTCTTCTCTCAAACTCCCTACTGCCCAGCATCCTGATTCAGAGGTTGGAAGAGAAAAGACGCCAGGAGTGGAAGCAGGAAATTGTCTGAGCCTTGGGGTGGGTGGGACTCCGGGCTCTTCATCTCTCTTTCACCCCAAGAGTTTTTTTTTTTTCCTATTCAGATGCAACACAGCTCTCAAAGAGGTTCATAGGGAAAAAGCCCCAAGTGGATCCAGCCTGTTAGAAGGAAAAGCCATCACCCTAAACCCTGCTCATTTATCCCACTGAGCTTGCTCTCCAAGAACCTCCTGCCTCTTGTGTTAAGTTCCCAAGCTAGCCATAAATCACAACCTTTTAAGAAAAAATAAACTATCTTGCACTGGAATAACACATAAGTCCACACTTACCTTTTGCCAAGTCTGCAATGGTTGTTAGAGAATGTCCCTCCAATCACCCACAACAACAGTGTTTGAATTACCTTGAAATACCATCTGGGAGAAATCATCATTGCAAATATTGAAGGTCCAATTCATAAAAGGGCAAAGAAACACACACCCCTGGCCATGATTTGGCAAATGTTTGTGAGACAGGGTTACCAGAAAAGCATGCCTAAATGCCCCTTCTCCAAGAGTATTCTCCACTCATCCCTCTCCAAGAGTATGCTACCTTGTCTGTGTGGGTATCCATGAGAAGGAAAAGAACAAGAGTGACACGATGGCCCACCAGTGCAGCCTGTGCGGGCCGGATGACAGATGCTCACTGTATCTATGGCAAAAAAAAAAAAAAAAAAAAAAGGCTTCCCCAGGAGGCATCTAAATCAGAGTCTTACCTTTAGCATGCAATTCCACATGTCTCAGACCCTTACACCCTGTATGGAGCTGGAATGCTTGATTTTTGTCTGCAGGGCATTAAATTACCAGGGGGACTGGGTCTCCCAGGTCTGGTCTGCATCTTGTGAAAGTCACATACCTCAGAAGGTTAAAGCTCAGATCCAGCCTCTTTGCAAAATGGCCACAGTCTCTGCCCAGGTGCTCTGGAATTTCTCTGCAGTCTTGGCCTATGTAGGACACCTGGAAATTAAACGGAACAGAAACCATGAGGCAAACGGAAATGACCCAGCTGCTCACAACTCTCTGACATTGATCGGAAGATTGCTTCCGCAACTTTAAATGCACACCCCTCACATACACAAAGGCCACATTTGGGGCTGTTTTCCTGCTCAAGTTGGCCTTGGGGACTCCAGGGACTCTGCCAACAGCTCTCCTCTCCTGGTACACTTCACGTGATGGAGACTCATGCCAGCACAATGAAATTGGACTAAAATTGGCCAGATTCAGGTGTCCAGAACACCCAGTGTCAGAGCATGCTGATATAATCACAGCAATCAACTTCTCACCGAGGGCCCTTTCCAACAGCTGCCCCTCTGGCTCTCCTTCTCCCTCTCCTCCACTGTCTGCCTGCCCCCCAATACCCTGTGATGCATATTACCTCATAAAAGACACAGCAGATGCACTTACCAGTATTTAAGCTGTGGGGTGCTGGAACAAATGGGGTTGGACAAGAAAACCTCCCTAGACCGCCAATCCCACCCCATGCTCACTGTGTATAAAATACCTTCCACACTGAACAAAGCTCATTTGAAGGGGACAGGGCAATGACAGGTGGCCACAGCTCCCAAGTCTCCCTCTTCCAGGGAGCCTTTTGCAATCAACCCACTCTGTTTGCAGAGCTGATTCCTTAGGGATTGATTTATATATGGTTATTGTTATACATCTTGATCCCCAAACTGCAGAGAAAAGATCACAGGGCTTTCTCACTGGTTGAAGCACTCAGATATTGAAAGCTATTTTTACAGATCACTCCCAGTGAGCTGAATTGGCAGTCCCAAAATCCATAAAACAAACTTGTGAGTTAGAATGGGTCCCCATATGATATTTACCTAACACACCTCTCTCATAGAGCCAGTGAGGCCCATCACCTGGCAATAACTTTGATCCTTGCCCCCCTTAAAATCCACGTTCTTCTATGTATGCACATAAAGAAGTCTTGGAAACCCTGAGAGTCCCAGGAGTTATTTCCTGATGGGGACCAAGGATATGATGGCATCTCACCTCCTCAAGTATTAGGTTGGGTGTATGGGTTGCTAATATTCAATCATTGTAAAGCTGTAAAAACAGCACTTTCATGTGGCTCAACCTAATACAAATCACACTGTACCCTAGCACCCTCAATTTTTCAAGTAATCCCTCAACTCTTTCCTGTCCAATTGGAATAAACTGCTGATGATACAATATCCTGGTCTCACTTTCCTTTGGCTACTTCATTCCTAGAGCAGAGAACGTGGGGAAAAGGGACAGAAAAACAGCTGACTCCAATGAAGTAATTTGACTCAGGGAGATACAAGCTGAAAAACAAAGGGCCCAAAGTTCAATCTAACAATCTCTCCCCTTTCAACAGGGGACCCATCTTTCTCCAGAGCTCCTTGTGTAATAAATTAAGTTCTACTTTAAAACAGAGATGGAAATCAAACTCCAAGGAGAGACCACGCACCCATCAATCATGAGTCTTCAATTTTTCCCAGGATGTCCAGTTAAACAGCAGTTTCTTCTCTCTCTAGTTCATTCTGTCCCCCCAACGATCACCAGAAAGCCCATTTGTTTTACCCCAGCACACACCACCACCTTGTACACATCCTCATCATTCAAGACCTCTGTGATATATACTGCGGAGAGGGTGAACTTTAGATACAGAGTGGGTTTCCTCATAGATTTCCAAGGACTGACCCAGGTGAAAAGTTTGCCAAAGCCCCTCCCATTTTATACACAAAAAAAGAAAAATTCTTCAGGTCTGGCCAGTGTAATACAGCAGCTCAGTCCCAGAGCCCAGACCAGAACCTCCTGTGTTGGGACCAGAACCTCCAACTTGGAGGCCTGAGGGTGCTTACCAATCTACAATATAAATGTGGATTTTCTTGATTACCAGAGACTAACAGTGCATCTATCATCCCACTTGGGCTTCAAAATGAGTTTTCCATGCTAAAAAGTTGAGAACTATTTCATGAGACAATGTTGAAAGCCCAGAAGAGAGTCAGAGCCTAAGGAAAAACAAGTATTTGCTCCCATTTTTCTTCTCAGGATTCCCCTACAGAGGAAGCAGTACCAAGGAGAGCTTATCTCCAGAGACATTCAAGTCATTCAACATACCTGAAGAGACTTCTACAGTTTATTACAAGGCCTTGACAACATCCCAGGAAAACTAAAGAAAGTGTAACTTGTTCCCATTCCACAGAGTAAAGAGCAAGCCCATTTGGTAACCTTTCTGCATCCTTGCACCACCACTGGAGGAAACTGGAAGCTTTCAGAGATGGGAGTTAAGCCCATCATATTAAGGGGTTCAAATTGTCTGGCAAAGGCCTAAACATAGCAAGCAGCCACTGCCAGGCATCACAACCAACACTTACAGGAAACGATACTTGTTTAAGAAGTATTCCAGAATGGAAGACACTAACTTCAGTATGTTGGAAAGTTTCTTGGAGCACAGGACTACCTAATATAAGAGATGATGCCAGAAGACCCAGACCAAAATGTTTGCTTCTTCAGGAAATGAGAGAAGGAGTGTCGTGATGAATAGGTCTTAAATGGCATGAAAGAGAGCACACCCAGAACCAGAAGTCTTTGCATGTAATCAATTGTCTTGATTTAGATGGAATCAAGGAAGAAAGTTTTGTGTTTTGAGTTTGCCTCGCTTATAAAAGCTATACCCCAAGGCTCCCACCCCATGTGGAAGAATAACACAAACATACTTTTATCAGGAAAATGAAACACAGAAAGCTCAAGACCCCTACAGAGTGGTACACCAGAGAGAAAAGCAAGACTACCTGAGAGGTAGTACACACTTACCCAGATGCTCTGAGCGGAAGCTGACCAAAATTACCAAACTGAGGAAGACTACAGGTTTCTCTGTGCTGGATCCTAGGACATTTCTAGTAGTGATGGCTTTCTCAGTAGAGCCTGGGAGGAGGTTGTTTACGATGCCTGCCCACGGGACACTCTGGCAGTACAAACAGCTCTGGGCACGCGTTTGAGCCTCTGCGCAGCTACCTTTGAGCAGGGTTCACTCGGATACACAGATGTCTCCTCTTCTATAAACAACTCTAATGCTAACTTCCCACACATGTGTTCAAGATAATGCAACAACTAGCAATTATTAAATGCCTAACGCCCAGCTGTTACCTAGTCAAAGGTCCTGTTTTAGCCTCAATTCACTTACACTATAGGACTGAGATAAAACAACATATTTAAAGTATATTTAAAGTTCTCTACAACTATGAACACTTAAGACCAATATTCCTGTGACAGAATATTATTCTGATATCTCTTGAGCATGGGATGTCATTGTCCAAGTTTGCATTTGTTTCTGTGAGTAGGTTGATGCTACCGTCCCAAACTAGTAGAAAAATAAGAGGGAGCACTAAATGTTGAATATAAATGACACATTCGAGTCAAGAGAAGGTCAGACCCATGTTGAGTAAAGATTTTTACAATCTTTTTACAGCATCCCAAACATGAGGTGTTATAAACCTGTGGAACCCCTAAAAACCAGGGCATGGCCGTCAGCCCACTGTGGCATTGCAGTGACCTAATTTCAGCAAAACAGCAGCATCCATCTCATTAAATTGTTTAATTTTAGTGGTGTTATGGTTTCTTTTCTCTGCATTTAACCATCCCTTTGGATGTGGGGAAAGGCCTCTACATAAGAGCTTAGAAAAAGTTATGTCTTGTAAGCAATGTTGCATTAAAAACAATACTATGCACTCATGAGAAATTTCACCCTCTAGCAAGCATCTACCTAAGTTTGAGAGACAACACGTGACACCCATACAAAAAAGCTACCTTTTTATAAAGTGGTACCTGAGTACCTGAGTGAGCCTGCTCAAAGCACTATAGTGAAAGGACACTAATGTTAGGATCACACCTTGAATCACCAGCCCAGGAGGTTTAAGACCTGGCACTGACACCCTAGGGGCACTCTTCCAAACTTCTCAGCTCCCACAGCAGTGCCAACTGCTTACAAAAATCCCTAAGGGTCCAAAATGCTTCACTGCACACATCAGTAACTGCCTTTAGGCTGTTTGGGATAGGCTAACAACTGGGGTGCAAGAAATATCAAGTATGAGAAATAGAGGAATAGAATGGGAAGCACAGGAAGGTGCTTACCCTACTAGCAAGTCCTCCGTGAACCTGGAAGAAACTACCCCCAGAGCCCGCTGGGCCTGCAATGAAGAGATGGGGGTCTGGTGGAAGGAGGTGTTCTTAGGTGAAGGTGCTGCCCTGTAGCCCCTCCCTCTTGGTAGCCATGTTAACTCCCAAAACACCTTTTGCAAGGTAGGACATGGCAATTTTTTTTTCTAGCTTTTTAAAACGTTTTTTAAAATAATTAATAGTTTATTTTTACATCATTTGGTGAATTTCTTCACGTCAGTTGTAATCCCTGTGGGCTTCCCATCACCAAATCACCCATGTGCCATCACTATAGTGCATTTCCTTCCCCCCACTGTTTTTGATCCCATTCTCCACTCCACCCCCCATAAAATGTCTCTGGTATACAGCTGTTCATTATTATTATTATTTTCTCGCCTGAGGACACAGCATTTTTAACCACCCCAATGGGCTAGCACCTCCCTGACATGCTCATTTCTGAATTCTGAGAAGCGGGAAATACTCTTTGGCTCAAAGGCGAGCTGTGTGAGACACGACCTCCCTTAGGTATTCCAATAGGAGAGCATCAGACCTCAACTATCTCTCTAGACTGTGTGGGAGACGGTGGCAAATAGGAGGGTTGACCTAGGCAGAGGTTAAAACGTGACCTGGATTAAAATTTAAAAAAAAAAAAGTGACCTGGCTTTTCTAGCAGGTAAAATGTACCTGGTCCAAATGTCGCTGAATCCATTCCTCCAGCGAAATCTGAAAACACCTGAGTGGTGGAAAGCAAGAGAGGCTGGGTGCACAAACTCAGGCTTGAAATGGGTGTTGCTATTCCCCAGACACCTGTTCAAGAAGTTGGGTGCTGACCCTCTCCTACCCCTGCCACAAGGATGCACCATCATTTGTCTTGGGGGTGGGAGGAAGGCACTCAAAAAAAAAAAGCCTAAAATTTTTATTTTGCAATTGTATTAACATAAAAACAATTATATTAATGCTATCTATTGAAATGTTTTCTTAAAACAAAATTTTTTCTTTGGCTTATGAAAGAAAACTTTTGTGGGCCCCAAAAGAGTACCTGGGCATTCCCACTCTGCCTGATGGGGAAGTGGCCAGGAGACCTGGTCAGAGAGCACCACAGGGGGAGAGAGACCTGAGAAGGGACCTGGGGGCGTGGGGGGCAGGGGCTTTCCTTCCATCACAGCCAGGAGGTGTGGCTGACCCTCAGAGGGGTCTGTCCTATCAAACCAGAGCAGGTTTGGATGCCCAGCGATCCCGTACTCCCCAACTGCAGGTGCAGACCCCTGAAATGAGACAAGGAGCCCTGTTTAACCTAGCGGTAGGAGGAGCTTCAGCAGCCTCTGGGGGCACCCACGACCTCAAAGCTCCCTCCCCAGACCGACAGTCACCCCGGCAGGAGGGGGCTCGTCCAGGAGTACTTACTTGAGTTCCACTGACCACGACTCCGGCCATGGCTACCTGACAGAAGCTGCACTCACCAATGAGCAGAGCACAGAGCGCTTGGCGACGGCAGGCAGCCCAGGCAAGGCGTGCAGTTCCGCACTGGGCGGTCAGCTGACCCGGCGGAAGCCCGAGGCGCGGGCTAGTTGTCCCGGGTTAGCGCTGGTCTGCTGCACGCCGGCAGCCCGCCCTCGAGCAGCGCCGCGGCGCAGGTGAGCTTTGGCAAACACGCTCCGCAAGCTGCAACAGGTGCTCAGCAGTGTCCATTGTCCCGGATGGAATAGCTTGACCTCAACTACCCCGTGCCCGCCAAAATCCTTCGTCCCAGAATGGGACCCTATGATGTCATGAAGGGACAGGGGGAAAGGAACAGCGTCTTCCAAAACTCCATGCCCAAAGCTGTATTTTATTAGTGGGGGAAGGGAACCTGGGTGTGGGGAGACTTCCCATCAGGAGCGCCTAATCTGAACTCCTAGCTAGGAGTGTAAAGAACTGGGCATTTCCTATATTTCACAATCCAGATTACATAACTGCTCAACTGCAGCGAAGAGGCGCCTCCTTAGTGGAAGGCCCCTCTCCCCAAGTTTGAGTAGAAGGGGACAAGCTAGAATATGAAATAACATCTGCTGGGGGTTCCATTTGTAGGAGCTGGAATGGAATTGAATTTGCCTATAAAGTGCTGACTCAACTAATAGCATTCAGCTGACTGAAAGCCCTAGAGAAGGATCATCTACTGACATGCCCAAATTTCAGGTTTCCCTACTCAAAATTATTTATTTTTGCAGGGATGTACAAAGCCAGAGACCAGAGCATTCTCCTATTTTCACTGTCCCCTACGACAGCTAAGAGCCTTTAACTGTGGCTCTTATAAATCAATGAGTATAGGCAACATTCAAGTAGAGAAGGGAAAACTAAGTCCTGACATACCAGACTCCAGGTCTTGCATACATTGCAGATAACTCAGTGGGTCTGTTGACAATGCTAACATCCCCACCTCTGTGAGGGGGGACTCACAGTTTCTCTTCTTTGTTCACTGTATCTAAACAACACCTAGGAAGCCCTAGTAGTGCACTGATAATGATGATTATGATGGTGGTTAAGCCTTTTGTCGCTATTGTGGTTTTCTCTCAGGCTTGATGCCAACACATTGTAATGTGGGCCCTTATTGTCAGCATTTTGATGAGCAGTGTTGACCTCTGAGGGTTGACCCGCTTGCTCTTCTCTCTGCTGAGAGGAACGGACACAGAAAAGTGGAGCTGTAAGAATACAAACTTGGCTGTGTTTACTTTGGGGGGAGGAAGGGTTTTCCAGGAAATTCTACAACAAAAGATCCTGCAGGCCAAAAAAGAAAGCTTGCCCTCCAGAGATAAGAAGGATCAAAGGGAATTGTCTAAGACCAACTGCCCCACAGACCAGCTCCTCTTGTTCCTCCCTCCTTCTTTGCTGGACCAACCCTTTCTGGTCCATTGTCCATTTCTGTCTACCTTTCCTGCCTAAGAAGGAGGAAGTGGACCCAGGTCCTGATGGTAATGATATTCTGCCCTCCTCCAAGTACCCTTCACCTTGGCCTCCCTAGAAGACCAGCTGGAGAGGACATATGGAGAAAGGCTTGAAGCTACTCAAAGATGAAATTGAAAATCCCACTCCTCACACATCTCCAACCACCCCCCCAACACACACACAGGAGAAGGGAAGAGGTCATCTCATCCATCCCCTGCGTCCATCCACAGCTCTGTCTTTTGAAGAGAAATGGTTCTGCAGATGCTATCCACCAACAACCATAGTAAGCAGGAATCTTTTCCATCTTTCCAGACTCCCTGACTATTGTTCCCTCTTCTGTCTAGACCCAGGGCACTCATTCTAAAAGTCTGATTTGATTCTACCTAAGATTTTTCAGTGGCTTCCAATCAACTAGTAATGTAGTCCAAAATCACTAGCATGACCCACAATATCTTATAACCTCACCCTCCTTGCTCTCACACACCTCCCACCATTCTGTTTGGCCTCTCCACCCCAGACAAAAGAAGTTTTGGGGGTGAGGGAAGGTTGTTGAGAAGAAACAAGGAGGAAAGGAAAAGATAAGGAATCTATTTGGACCAAGGAATATTGGAAGAGGAGAGCAAGAGATATCCTCTACTCTACATCATCTTTTTTTTTAAAGATTTATTTATTTATGCATACAAGAACTGGGGTACAGGCCAGAGATATGGGAAGTGAGAGGATTCATCAGAGACAGAGTGGAGAGCAAAACAGGCAGATGTGCTGAAACACACTGCTGAGGGGAGCTGTGGGCAGGACAGGAATGGTCTGCCAAGCCATGTGGGTCACCTTCCTGGCAGGGGATTGAAATGGTAGAGTGGCTGTGGATAGCTTTATATTGCTGTGCTTTAATCTGTTGGGCCACCAGGAAGGGCCCCTGGAGCAAAGTGTAGGGGAAAATCGCAGCGAAGGTAAATTTCTTATCCCTTTTAGAAGAGGAAAAAGCAAAAGAAATCAGATCTGCCTGTTCCAGAAAGTAGACAAATGATTCCTTTGGAATACAAGGAATTTACAAAAATGAACAGAGACAAATTTTGTTGGGCTCTCATCTTGAATACTGTTTTATCTCCAATGACCTGGGGTCACTGAGGAAGTGGAAGGCTCATGCAGTCCTCTTGGTTTTCCTCATTCCCCACACCTTACTCTATGACCAATTGAGAGTAAGCTCAAAGGAACACTTGCCTTACCTCAGTGTACTCCACAGCCCCTCAGTCCCAGTTTCCAAGGAGCAGGTACCATACTAGGCACTGGGGGCTTACATGATTAAGACATGTCCTTAGGGAGATTTTTGTGCTTTGACATTTGGAGTACTGTGTCAACAAGAAGCGTCCTGTGATCATATTTTCTAAATCTAAAATTGTGACACATATCCCAATTTGTGTGCTACACATACAGTGACCATGGAAGAGAAAGTTCAAATCAGATCTGAGCTGGAAATCCTGGGCCTGTGAATTCTGGAGCTCTAACACCAGCCTGTTGAGAAAGTGGGAATTTTCAACACTTACATCTAGATGTTTCCTTGTCACTCTTGATGAAGAGTGCAATATTTTATTCCTACTGTCATCTTTGTTATTACTACTGTCCTTTGGCAGACGAAGCCCTTTCCCCCTAGAGTCCTTCCTCCATCACATTCCTGGGGACAAAAAGGAAGATCCTGTTTATTTCCAATCAAGGAGTTGATTCTGGGGTCGGCCAGAACCAAGGAAACAGGAACTGATTTCTTAAATCTCCCAACTCTGCATCAGTAGCTGAAAGAAGGGCAGGGCCAGTTAACAAAGTTTTATTAAGATTCCCACCTATCCTTAGCCACACTGCTATTTAGCCTGGCCTCCTTTCTTTCAGGCACAGCCTCTGGGCAGGTTAAAATGTAACAAAAAAAAAAAACAAACATGCCTTTTGCAGCAATATGGATGGAGCTGGAAAAGATCATGCTTAGTGAAATAAGCCAGAAAGAAAAGGAAAAATACTGGTTGGTTTCACTTACAGCAGGAATATAACAGACCAGGTGAGAAAATAATAATAATAATGAACAGCAATATACCAGAGACATTTTATGGGAGTGGAGTGGGGAATGGGATCAAACACAGTGGAGGGAGGGAAATACACTGGACTATGGTGATGGAACATGGGTGATTTGGCGATGGGAAGCCCACAGGGATTACAACTGAGATGGAAAATGCACAAAATGATGTAAAAAGAAACTATTATTTTATTTTTTTAAATGGTTGCTGTAATTAGTCATGCCCCAGTCTCAAGCTGAGACTCACCACATACAAATTTCAATTTAAAAAAAAAAAAAAGCTGGATGACTGCACACAAATGCTCTTTGCTGCTAAGGTAGCCTCCTTTCAGCCCAAAAGAGTGAGTTTCGGCCCCATGGCAGTATTTGCATACATACAAGGTGACAGAGGAAGATCTATATGCTAAAGTACTGCCTCATCTCTGAAACAAAATACAGAAATTAAAACTTTAGAAATATATATAAAATGAAACCATGTTTGACTTAAGTATTCACTGCACAAATGTTAGTTTCTCATTATTATTTGATTATAGTTAATTATAGTTATTATTTGATTATAGTTAATTACCATTAACTTATTAATTCTCAGTGCCTCCAATTCCCTTTTTCTTTGGCCCTTAGAAGTCTCCATTAAAATGCAAACATTAACAGAGTAGGGAAAGGAGTAGGATGGGGAAAGGTGAGTGGAAAAGGAGCCTCTATTTTTTACTCCATTTTTTTTCTTGCAATTTTTACAACATGCATACACTGCTTTGGTCTTAAGAGCAAGAAGGGAAGAGATTGGGATGGAGTGGGCAGCAAAAGAACATTTACTACTGAAATTGCTATCTGCTAATCTCCTAGTATTAGTCTCACAAAACCTGAGAAGAGCAATGAGAAACAAGTCATACTCCCCAATTTGCCTGGACTTCACTCAACACTCCACATCCTCACCTGCGCTTAAGGAGTCAGTCATCTCTGCCATGGGAACAGGCACTCGTATTCGACTTATGAAACAGGAAGGGAACACTAACCGAAAGAACCTGCTCAACTTTAATTTATATAGTGGGTGGGAAAGAGGGGAGCAGTGTATCAGCCCCTCCCCAGCTCCTACCCTTCCAGAATCCCAAAGGTTCTGCAAGTTAGAGGCTAAGAAACCTCCCCCCACCTTAAGTTAAATATGTGGAAGGCAGAATGATTCTGATTCATTCAGTAGGTGGTACCTCAACATTTCATTTTGTCTCCCCAGTAACCCCCTCCCAAACTCACTGCTTTAGAAATCTACCCCAACTACTGATTGAGGAAACTGAGGACTACAAGAATAAAAAGGATCTGCCCAAAGTCACAGAGCAAACAAGCAGCTGCCCCTAGTCCAGTCTCCAACCTCCTGAAGAAAAGATAACTCCATTCTTCCTACAACCCAGTAAGAACAGGGGAAGAGACTGGGAAGGAGCTCCAGAAAAAGGCCATTTCCCATCTAATCGCTTCTTGTCACGTTGTAACCATTTCCCTCATATGGAGCCCCACAC